CGGGACCACCGCCAGCATATGTTAAAATGGAGTATTGGATTTGGGGTGTCTTTGTTGTAAATTTGATATTTTGTAAGGATCTAAATGCAAATTGAAAATTTTTAATTAATTTCAATTTAGTACACGGGTCAAATCTATAATATATAGAAACTTATAAAAAAATATTATTGTTATATATTTGTTTATAAATATATATATTAAAATATTAAATAAAAATGATAAATAAACATAATATATAATATTAAAATAGTATTGTACCTATTGCACGTTAATGATAGACGAAATGCACTTTTGTGTCTATCGGATTGCACTTTACCGTAACAAATGTACCACTCGAAATAATAAATTTAGTTTTTAAACTATAAATTAGTTTGTATTTAGCTTAGTCCAGTTAATCAAATGAACAAATCGATTATTTCGGTAATGTTTAGTTTGGTTTGGGACAAGTCATTAAAATATGCATAAACTACAACTGCACAATAGTATTGGATGGATGGCATTTTAACGACTATCAGATTGCACAATAATGTTAAACGAGATGTACATAATGACCGAAACCGAACTGACTCAAAATTTCGTTTCAAAGTCTTATATTTTGGCTAGATTATCTATTATTATTCGTAAAATATAGATTTGTCATTCTAAAATCGGCATTATTTTTTTAAAAATAACCAAAATAATAAAACCGATTGAACTACATAATAAATTTTTTTATATGAAAAATATAATTTTTTTTTGCAGGCAAACAAATATAAAATATTAAAGATACTAAATATATTTTTTAATTCGATTTTATATTGGGTTCGAACAAATTATTAAAAATATATGCGATGCAAGTGCACCGCAGTGCTATATGAATTGCACATTAATGACTATTGCATTGCACTAAAACAATTGAACTAATTTTTTCGGTTGAAAAATTTATATTTCAGTTTGATTATCTGCTTTTACTTTTAACATCACATTCATTTCAGTTCGATGTTGGCATTATTTTCTCAAATAAACTGAAAAAAAATTGACTGCTTCATAAAAAAAAATTATTATTGTTATTATTATTTTTATATTTATATGTATTGCAATTGCACTTATACGAATTGCACGTTAATGACTATTGCATTGCACTGAATCAATTGAACTAATTTTTTCGGTTGAAAATTTTATATTTCAGTTTGATTGTCTGTTTTTACTTTTAAAGTCACATTCATTTCAGTTCGATGTTAGCATTATTTTTTCAAATAACTGAAAAAAATTGACTTCTTCATAAAAAAAAATATATTATTGTTATTATCTTTGTATTTATATGTATTGCAATTGCACTTATACGAATTGCACATCAATAACTATCATATTGCACAAGCCGCCGACACCGACCGAAACTAAAATTTTCATAGAAATTTTATATTTCGGTTCAATTATATTTCATTTACTTTTAAAAATAACGGTTATAATGTGCATTTATCAAATATTATTTTACATTTTATTTACTATTATGTTGTATTTAATATATTTTTTTATAAATTAGATTTGACATATGTACTAAATTGAAATCTAATAAAAAATCTAGAATTGCAATTAAGTCCCTTAAACTTATTAAATTCTCAAATGTGTGCCCAAAAATCTTGCAACTATTCTGTACCATTTCCTCACATAAACACTGTACCATTTCATCTCACATAACACTTGAATGATTTTCGTCTCTCGTCATGAATGCCGGGTTGGCAATATCTGGTCTTCCAATGACGATTGTACTCCGGCGATGACGGCGGCGGACGTCCTCACGCCTCCAGCGACCATTCCGGATGCGTCTGTAGGTTGGAGGTGGGTTGCGCGGCCCCGAATCGGCGGTATTCCGTCGAGCGGCGTTACCTCGAAACAGATCTACACGTGACCGGCGTGAAGATTCGGGTTGTGGCTGACGGCGGACGTCCGGTGGCCATTAATTTAGCGACGGACAGAGGTGGTGCTGCTGGTGGCGGGCATATCTGTGGCCGACGGCGGTCTCTCGATGATGGACGGCGAACGAGAGTCTGTGGGCGGGCGGTGTTGTGCTCTTGCCGGATTGTGTGTGTGTGTGTGTGTGTGTGTGTGTGGTCGTGATGCAGTGTGTGTTTTAGTGTGAAGTGTAGAGAGAGAGATGGGTTGTTGGGGTGGGGTCCACTAGATTAATTAATTATTTTAATGACCATTATACCCTTAATAATTAGTCAAATATACATATATGACCATATGTGTTTAAATATTTACCACTAATGCCATTATATATTTGACTGATTTATTAAAATTTGACTTGATCATTACCATTGATTTACTATATCTAAAGGCCCACATTCATTCTTGTTTCTTTCACTATCATTCATTCTCATATGATCCTTTCTCTATATATATATACATGATGTCTCGTACAACAACAATACATATATTTCAATTCATACGCAGTGGGCATTATTTCGGAAAAACGCGCGACCAAAGAATTAAATATTTCCGAAACCAACATTCAAATTGGATATTGATATTGAATTCGTAATCCCATAAAATTCATGCGATCAATTTATGCAGTTCATCATTAATTACAAATAAAATATGCTTGTAAAATTCATACAAACAAATTATTTATTTATTCACAACACATGCTCTGATACCACATGTAAACTTCATCACGGATCTTGAATAAATAATTTGGTGTATACGAAACACTTACTTGATGCAGAAGGCGACATAATTTGTAATCTTGATCTTGATGATCACGGGGTTGAATCGATTAGGAGATCTAAATCAGTTTCTCCCTCCTGACCTTCTCTTAACGTAGCAGAAAAGTGATGGTATAAAACTGCGTACCCTAACAGGAGGAGAGAGGACTAATTTATATAGGGGTGTCTTTAAATCTGGTATGTCCATCAATTATTCAGATTTGTTCGACTATTAAATAAGGTCTGGCCCAATAGGATAATTAAATGTGAGCCCAATGCTTTCGGGCCACATATTCTTACATTCTCCCACTTGGTCCGAAAGCCTATAATTTAATAGTATAATATTACGTGCATATAAACAAATCCCATTATGCCATACATCATAATAAACTATG